AAGTGTTGAAATACTTACTCATTAGCCACTGTATATCTATATATTTATTTATTTATTTATTTAATATATATATATATATATATATATATATATATTAAATAAATAAATAAATAAATATATAGATATACAGTGGCTAATGAGTAAGTATTTCAACACTTATATATATTATCGTGAAATATATTATTAATTATATAATAAGTATGTGTTATATGTAACATTTATATTCAGACGTATTATTAACATTAGATGGAGGTATAACTATCTTGATTTATTTCTTACAAACGTAAAAATTGATGATCCCACCTTTGGCACAAGTAACATCTTGTAAATGATTATGCATACTCTTTACTAACTGTTCTGTAACACTTGCTAATATATAGAACTCCATACTATCATTATCATCTAATCATAACTATCATATATATATAATTTAATTTGCTTGAAACTTTACCTATATAATCTAGAGATGTCATACCTCCATCCAATGTTAATAATACGTTTGAGTATAAATGTTATATAACACATAATTATTAAAATGAATAAAATATTTCATGATATAAGTGTTCAAATACTTTAGTGAGTCACTCTATATACATTATGCATATATATGTATGTAGGGTGTGTGTATATGTATGTATGGTGTGTGTGTGTGTGTACTAATTACATATATATACATATATACATATATATATGTACAATATATACAAATATATATATATTTATATATTTATTTATTTGAATTATAATATATAATTAATATTGATATGGATATGTATGTGATTTTTAAAAAACTAATGTCTCCTCGGTGGTATGCTCTCTGTATGTGCGCGCGGCATAGTGCGTTTAAACCTAACTATAATAATCATAATCATATATTTTACTATGCTGCACGAGCCAAGGATATATTTCCTTCCATTTAAATTTAATTATTAATTGCTGTATTCGCGCGACGAGGGATGGTGGACGCGATAGGACGATAAGATTCGAGGTCGAAATGAAGTATTATATTATCGGGGATAAATAAATTAATAAATCAATAAATAAATATATATATTAATTAATTAATTAATTAATTAATTAATTAATTATAGTCTTTCTCTTATCTTCTAATCGTATTTTGCAACTCCATCCTCTGTACTTATTCTTCTTCTTCTTCTTCTTCTACTACTACTACTATTACTACTACAAACTACTACTAATTCTTCTTCTTCTTCTTCTTTTACTTCTACTTCTTCTATTACTTCTATTAATTTTCTTTCCACTTCTAATTCTAATTATTTTTGATCTATCCTTTATGCACGATACATCGAATTTTTTTCAAAAACACCGATTCATGGAAAATCACGAATCTAACGTTCTCACTGACGATTGAGATTCACTTAAAAGACAAAGAAAAATATGAAATCCATCAAAATCGGAATACGCGATCTCGCCGTCCCTTAGAGTGCGATATCTAGATACTAACACTATTGTAACGCCAATGTGCCAGCTGCTTGTATGCCCTATATAAAAAGCATGAAAGAAGCTGAATTTAGTCTCTATCGAAAAAATAATTACAACGATTTATACATCGACGAATTATAATATTTATTTCGTCGATAGTAAAAAAGAAAAAAAAAAGAAAAAGAAAAAAAAACATGAACGAAATCAAGGGGAGAAAAGTTAATGCAACAACAAATCCTTCATTAATATTTGTTACATTTTTACTCGTGAAATAATTATTGAAAAAAAGAAACAAAAAATTCTATATATATATATATTATTATAGAAACAAATCTATTATATATATCTTATCTTTTCTCTCGTACGAATTCGTATTATTCGTGCAAAACGATCTCTGTTATGATTTTAATCAAAAAACAAGTATATTGTTTCTTTTTTTTTTTTTTAAATTAAATATTATTATCGTCAAACGTAGATTGTAAGCCAATCGCTGTCGAGTCGTAGTGGCTCTCTGCTAAACGGCTGAATATTTTATTTAGAAAAAACAAAAAAAAGAAAAAAAAATTACCCAAGAGACCATAAACGAAGTTTATTTCTTCAAAAAGGTCCATCGAAAAAATTAAAAATGTTTCGAAATCCATATATATATATATATAAAAATTATAAATATCTCTCTCTCTCTCGTAATAATAATAAAATTCTTTTTTCATTACGGTAGCGTGTAGTAACCGTGACGAGAAAGAACTAAAAAAAAGAAAAAGAAAATTAAAATAAAAATGAAAAGGGGATAAAAAAGAAAAAAAGAAAAACAAGAAACACAAAACAAACAAAAATTATGTATATGTATATGTATATGTGCTGATACTGGCTTCTCTGTTTCTTGTCTGTTTCTGTCTGTCACTGCCATCTCTGTCTGTCTGCATGCTGTGGGACGCTCGGATACCAAAAACCACCCACATACTGCACTACGTAAACAATGGGTATTTTTTCTCGATCTTTTATCAAATCATCCTCGTGATACGTAACGACGATGATATAATTGAAATGATTAAAATAAAACAAAAAAAAAAAAAAACAACAACAACAAAAATTTTTCACGTGACGTACCTGTGACGATAATATAAATAATTAATTAATTATTCATCTACAACACACACGCGTGAATTTTTCTATCTGATATGTACATGTAATGATAATGAAAATGATTTACAAACAAAAAATTTAACACACACACACACACACACATGACGATAATTGAATAAATAATTGAAATTATATATCTCGAAACAAAAATAATATAATGATATCTCTCGATCTGAATTTTTTATTTCTTCCGTGTGTGTGTATTTTAAATTAACAAAAATAATCTCTAATAATCACGATAAAAAATTAACGATTAAATGAAATTAATCGTCACAGAGAACTACCACGGCTCTAACACTGTATTTTTAGTTGGTATGCTCATGTCGGTGGTAGGGGGTGTTTTCATAGTATTTGCTCTGATGGCTCTCTGCTACAGGTCAGTCGTAGTACATAAAAACTTCTCCCTCTGTCTCAGGTTAGTGTGCAGATACATACACGTAGAAATTTTTTGTATGCCTCTCTCTCTCTCTATATATATATATATATGAATATATATACCTATCTATCTATCTTTCTCTTTCTACCTTTAACTATCTCTCTCTCTCTCTCTTTCTCTCTATCTCTGTCTGTCTGTTTCTTTCTCACTCTATCTCTCTCTTTCTCTCTCACACTCTTTTTTTACTTTCCAACAATATGTATTTATATATATATATATATATGTGTATATATAATTACTTTGTACGTATATACACGCGTACTGTTAACACGTGTATACACGTAAGAATATTTAATTATTATTATTTTTCTTTTGGTTTTTTATTTTTCGTTGTACATCCCAAATCTTGGATACTACTTTACCTTTCCTAAATATTTTTCCTCCCAACTCTCCTCTATTTTATTTTTCTTTTCTCTTTCTCTTTTTCTCTTTCTCTCTTTCTGTTTCTGATTCTTTACTTATTTTGTTTATATCATTTCCTTTTCATTTTATTTTCTATCTGTCTATCTCCTATATATCTATATCTTTCTACCAAAAATTCTTTATTATTACATGTGTATAAATAAATAGGTTTGTTGCTGCATATATATCTATAATAAAAGTAATCCATACCGAGCATTATAACCATACACGTTCTAAAGGGTCAATATAGATCGTGTAAATAAAAAAATGCAAAAAGAAAGAAAAAAAAAAAAACAAAATAGAAAAAGAATATAAGTATATT